TTTTTGATATTTTTATTTGCATTTTTCTCGTGCAAGTGTTTTGTAGCCACATCAGCATCAATAAGATATTCACCTTTTATAGCTTAAAGTCGCCTAAATAATATTTGAACATTCAGTGATAAATCAAAGAAGACAACTCAGCCATTACAATGGTTAATGTTTCTGAAGTAAATAATCGCTGTTTACACTGCAGAACTCCGAATTGTTTATTTTTAAAGCAGATTGTGTTTGTAGGTGTCACTAGGTCTGTTCCGTTTATGTGCTAGAGAGTTGCACTACATGGCGTAATGATACTTCAATTAACAAAGTTAACGTGCTTTGTGTGTGTTACCTACTCAGCTATGAGTATAAGTACTTCGATACTGAGAGTGCCGTGAATAAAACAAGTTAAACAAATCTCTATCAAACATTGGATGCATCTTTTAAATGAGGTGACTATTATGCAGTCTTAATTTGATTTTGCGTATTCAAATAACTTGTGTCTTTGATGTCAGCACGGAATAATTAGTCAGTAGTACCATGATGATACTGTAAGTGTAAGTGAAATATTTATTAGTGTTGTGAATTTAGATCTTGGCATTCATAGTGGCAAGTCAGATAATTATTGTTTTATTTCGGTCATTAAAGAGGACTAATTGTTTATATTTATAAACATGCAAGCTGACTCCAGTGAGAAGTTAGCAGAACACTGAGCTAGGTTTTCGTACCTGTATGATAAAATAAAAAGTAAAAATTGCTTGCATCATCACAACCTCAAATCCTCCATAGAACGAAATATGACTGGTAATAAGACAAATGCAGAGGGGTGCATTGTTAAACTGTGGGCCAAATTAAGCATGTCGTACATAAGCAAAAAGTGATTAAAATTTTGAGCCTTTTGGGTTGTTTTCGATCTCCTACTAGAACATGTATTCAGAGGCTGACGTTTCAGTCATGTAGCGTAAGTAGCAGTGATCATTTGTTATCGTGAGAATGTTGAAATAAAAAATGTTCCCCCACATCAGAATATTATTGCTAAATGTGTCATTACACATACTCGTGTATTGCGATACCAAGTTGAAATGATTTCTCTTCCTGGTCTTTTCAAAGTTTGCATTTGTCAGTAGTGAGTGACAGCCCACTGCCTCTCCACAGTTTCTACTCAATCCTTATCTTTGTCTGCTAGAGCCATCTAGTAGGAATCAGGAGAGACTTGTGTGAGAAATGGCCGCCGAATTTTGCTTACGGAATATCTCGTTCATGCTCGTTTGGTTCTTTTATGTGCCTCTCTGAAGGAAGTTGTGTTGTAGATTTTTATCACCCCTTAAAAGTGTTGAGCACATTAACCACTAGTCCACTGAATGGGACAAGTTGAAATATTACTTTGCCAAAACAGCAAAAGGAACGTTTATGAACATTTTTTTATTTTACTTTATTAAATACATAATTAACTATTCAACAAAAAATAATATAACAGTTTAACTAAAAACTATGTAACTAAGAGATCTTTAACTATGTAACCAATACTTTAACCATGTAACTAAAAACAATTTAACGAACACATTTTTTATGTCATATTCTTAACTATATAACACACGAAAACCATTAAACTGAAAACAATTGAACTATTAAACTAAGAACTTGTGGTGGTTCATTGATGGTTGTGGTTGTAGGGCTTGAAGTGAGGCCCCGCTCACATAACATTGGGTCCTTTCTTGTTTACAGTAGCCGGATGGTGGGCTCAATCTCTGTTTCTTTCAGGTAGTTTTCAGTACTCAGGAAGGACAATCCAAGACAGTTGCTAGGCGAGCAACCTTCAGGAGACGAAGTAAGGTCTTTTAGAATGGCTTGAATGTCCAGGTCAGTTATTTTACTGGGATTTATTGTTGGGTCAGGAATCTGGAAAGGAAGTAAAAATTTGGATGAGAATAGGAACTGGAATAATGGGTAACAAGTATGGAAACACCTACAGCGAATATTTTGTGGTAGGCGATCTCTAAGGATGCAGGTTTTGAAGGAATTTGTGACGAAGCTCATTGTGAAAGACACTGGACTTATTCTAGTTACATGGACTCTTGTATAAATTACAGGCTTGAAACTCATTCTGCATTTTTTGGGATGACTTCTTCCTTCTGTGGCTGGGAATCCTCCCCATTGATGTTCCTGGGCAGGGAGGCGAAGGGCGCTGCTGTTCTGCGCCATGGCGAGGTGTCGCTTCCCCGACTGGCGTCTAGGGCGTCTCAATTTCTTACCACGGGCCTGCTCCCGGAGGCTCTTTTGTTTGCGGACTTCGTTTGGGTTGTAGACATAATCTGAAATTGGAAAGAATGACATTCAGGTCAGAGCATTCCGTTAACGGTCGCTTCCGATCGCATGATTTGACGTGAGAGGAGGAAAATCAGCGACATTCATAAATCATGGAATACAGAAAGACAGGAAGAGTAAAATGTATCCTTCTTCGAAACGTTGGCATCGAATTAGTCGCCGTGAAAGCTCCTGATAATACAAAATTAATATTTCCATTGCGATTATTAAAACGAAGCAAAAATTAATGATGCTGAAGTGGCTTCAAAGGGAGGTGTTCCGGGTAAAGTACTGCCTCAGTATCGAGGTTGAAGTCACTTTAACTGGTAGACAACCACAAGACTTTGATGGGCTTTTGTGGCGGTGAGGCTCAGGATGATGATTAAATTCTGGATTTTGGTGCAGTGTAGACTTGGCAGGAAATGAACTCAAAATATAAGGAAAAAATACATCTTTTGTACTTTTGTTGACTTTTGCCACTCCAGTAGACAACCACAAGACTTTGATGGGCTTTTGTGGCGGTGAGGCTCAGGATGATGATTAAATTCTGGATTTTGGTGCAGTGTAGACTTGGCAGGAAATGAACTCAAAATATAAGGAAAAAATACATCTTTTGTACTTTTGTTGACTTTTGCCACTCCAGCTCTGATCGACTCAAATCTTAAAATATGTTACTAAAGAATAAAGTCTCGTCAAAAGTTCTCTTACTTAAAATTGATAGCAGTCAATCCCAAATAAATCTGAATCTGTGATTTTCCTCATAATTCTCGGGTACATTTTTGGAAGCTTTCTGCTGCTTTTTGATGTTAAAAGAGAATTACTTACTTACCGGGATATTTCTTCTTATGTTCCGCGTCCGCCTGGCGGGCTCGTGCAAAATACTCTTCCTTGTGCTCTACATCAATGGCCCTCCACATGTAGCCAAGTCTGCAAGTAGAA